TCTAGATCATCACAAACGAAAAACAACACGGAACGCTACCACACCTCCATGGCACAACACCTGCTTCGTGGGCCACCGGTCAAGACCTCCCTTTACCTCCACAAACCAATTGATCACCTGTACCTCCTCAAGCGACAAAGCCCCTAGAGCAAACGAATACTGACCAGCTGGCGTCTCGTAATGAGTCTTAGTCCAATATAGGGGAAACCGACACTCCCTACTCGACTGATCAACAAAAAAAGGAAGTTCACCCACGCCCAAGACAGGTTCAATCCAGAAGAAAGTGTGTGTCCAGTTCTTATACGAATTGGCATACTGAGCAAATATGGATCCAATCACATTGCCCGCCTTTAAAGAAACCCAGCCAAGCTTCTTCTTGGACGACACACTTGAAAACAGTAGAAGAACGATCGTACGAAATAGGCCCAACCAAAGTACTTGCATATGCTCTCAAAAACTCTAACAAACGCCCAAGCGTTAGGATGCAGTTGTGATGGCACGACCTGAAAATGGGATAACATCTCCATCTCAAAGTCGGACAGCGGAAACCTCACTTTCTGATCAGTAAAATGAGTCTTGTACACCATAAACCGCCATCGAGATCTGGCCGCCATGCGAGGCGCGTCACAAACCCGGCGATCAGCACTGACCGCGAACGGTTGCCACTTCGCCTCGTTTGCACCATTTTCAGTAATGGTGAAGCTAGGTTCAGATTTATAGTGGCAGCGCAGGATATCCCGGTCAGCATAACTTGAAGAAGTAGTAGCCACCATCGAGTCTACCCAATTCCTCGCCTCAAGATCGTCATCTGAATGAACAACCTCCATAAGTCACGAAGTCTTCAGAATCCTACCTGGGAGCGACAAACACACAGTCAATCCTCAAAACTTCACCGACGCCAGAAGATCACTGCGAAGGGAAACTGGATACCCTACCTCGCCCTATCAACACTCCTGTCACCACCAACACCCTCCACGCCAAACACAACGAAAAAGAGAGTGCAAAACACATTTAACTCACCATCAGAATCCGAGGTGTCTGAAGAACTTGAAGAATAAAAATCTGAATAGCTCAGGTTAGAAGGCCACCAGGCAGGCGGTATCTTATAAAGTCTTATGTCTTCAAAAATGGCGTCCCACACGCCATCCTTTATAAGGCAACCATCCTCTGGGTGGTATCTACCTAAACGGTTCTCTGTGGACTCATCATACATGCGACGATGGAAAGAGTGGGGAATGGGGGGAATTTGACCATGAGACGTGCGAAGGGCAACGGAAGAAGGGCGAGGGCTGAAATAATACTCTAAAGGACGGTTTTGTCGTTGGTGATTGATGTTGGATACGGGTCGAATAAGTCGCCCAACTCCAAGCTCAGAATGCCGCAAAATGCGGCGTCGTGAAGAAATCCTCGGATCGCGCGAATGACCAGAAGGCCTAGAATAATTCCTCTGTGAAGAACGAAGACTGGCCCCCTTGACTGATCCTCCTGACCGCCGTCTCCTAGACCTTGCAGACGAACGTCCGCCAGATCTGGAACTTCCCTCTCCAACCACCTCACGACGTCCACTATGCGGTTTAGAACATGACGCCTCATCGGCATACGGGAGGACATGCCCGAAAGCTCTTTCAGGAAGGAGATTTTGAATCTCCTCTTCACAAAAACCCAGAAGTTCGGGTACTTTGCCATGGGGCAATTTCTCAACCCCAGGAATCAAAGGACGACTTGGGGCGCAACTAGCAAGATATTCGCGTATTGTTGGCCCCACCACACTATCTCCCAGTGCCTCAAAGGCTTCATCAAACTCCTCTTCCTTAATTTTTACTTTCGGCTCAGGATGTATGAGACCAGGGATGGGTTCTATAAACCTAACCATCGACGCAACAGAAAAAGGAGAAGAAGGAAACCAGAAACAAAGAAACGAAACGATGAAGGAAGAAGCACTATACCTGGGAAATTGCAGAAAATAAGAGAGAGAAGACCGGCACTATCACACTGAACTGAGAATAGGAAACAAGCAGAAGGGCAGAAGCACAACAGTGTATGATTCGCGTAAGGAAGGACCCCAACGAGGGGTATCCCCCCTTTATATAGAAAGAGGAAGAGGAAGATCACATACGTACACGTGTAAGTCCTCCTCACTCAACCGTAAGATGACACAGTCATCATGCAATGGGCGGTTGAGATGAGGGACAAAGTGGTCACTTCAAGAGGACAAGTCACCTATCACGTCGCATTAATGCGTCGTGCCTCATGACGCTTGGATACTTGCAATAAATGGCAATGATGGAAAAACTCATCATGAAGGCTCCTCGAAAACCAAAAAGCCACCCGAGAGTGCCAGAAGTGGCAGCCTTTTCTGAAACATCCTCAGCCAATCACCGCCAAACCACGAGGACGTTACAGTTGTCATCAGAAGGAACGACTCACACCCAGTACTTTCGTATTGCCAAACAAGGCGTCGTCCAGATACCTACCTTGGCACCAACCTACACTGGTTACCAAGATCGCCGAACGACTCACACCCAGTACTTTCGTATCGCCAAACAAGGCGTCATCCAGATAGCTACCTTGGCACCAACCTACACTGGTTACCAAGATCGCCGAACGACTCACACCCAGTACTTTTGTATCGCCAAGCAAGGCGTTGTCCAATTGTCTACCTTGGCACCAACCTACACTTGCTACCAAGCTGGGGGGCTCCTGTTCCGGATGGCCCAACAAGAGTCAGGCTCAATAGTCAAGGCCCAGCACCTACCAAGCATCCACGTCAGCCCTACCAACTGGGGCGACGCATACCCCCCAATGTGGTAACTTCCCAAGGCTGTATCCCACCTAGGGACCTCAACTCCCGAAAGCGGTCGCTCAAATGCCTTAAGAGGAAACTGTCCCCTGTGACCTATGCTGACACCGCCAGACGCAGAAGGCACAGCGCTGCTACGATGGCAGCGCCTGTCACGCCCAACACTGCCATCGGCATATGGCCCCAAGGAGAGTTGTCCTTCTCCCCACCAACCTTCACCCGGTAAGCACAATCTTCCCTTATAAATAGCTCCCAAGGGCACCCCCTAGAGGATCTTATGTATCGTTATACTGTCCATTTCCTTAGAGTCATTTTATCACCCTAGCTTATCCATTGATTACTTTGCTTGTACTTGGCACCATACCCCTTAGCTTGGTCTGTACCTGTGCTAAGGGTATCATCCATACATTGACTCATCCCTAAAGGGAACATAATCGGCTTATAGATTCCAACGGTACATTAATATTCTCAAGTACATAATTTCCAGTAAGCAACTATTAGTTGGCTACTCAAGTTTATATAATATTTCGGTCTTTGATCTGTTCATTTTCACATATTATTACGAAACTAACCACTCGAGTTATGTAACAACTACAAATCCTCTCTACAATTGTTATATATAATTTTAGGGAAAAATATTTATTCTTTTAAAAGATGATCATTTTAGTTAAAATTAATCTTTTTTATTTAAAATTTAAATTAAAAAAATCTCTTACTTTCTCCTCCTATAATTTCCATTATCATCATATATATTTTTTTCTCATTTAAAATGATATAATTATATATTTTTTAAAAGGATAAATATCAATCCCTTAGTTTTATGTTAAAAAAAATTTTATAACAAAAAGTGACAAGAGCCCAGCTAAAATATTATCGTATATAAAATGGGAAAGGATATTGTAACAACTAAGTTATATTACTACCAATCAATTTCACCGTTAGATCGATTATGTTGATCCAACAATTATATTTATTTCCATCTTTGTATGATCGTGATTTCTCAAATTTAATACTTTATATTTATTTCTACCTTTGTATGATAATGATTTCCCATATTCAATGCTTTCACTTTAAATATGGAGAATCATAAACATACAAAGATAAAAATAAAAATAATCGTTGGATCAACATAATCAATCTAATTGTGAGATTAATTGGTAGTAACATGGTAGTGACACAACTTGGTTGTTACAATATCCTTATCCAAAATGGGAAAGGATATTGTAACAACCAAGTTATGTTACTACCAAGTTACTACCAATCACTTTCACCGTTAGATCGATTATGTTGATCCAACAGTTATATTTATTTTCATCTTTGTATAGTCATGATTTCTCAAATTTAATACTTTATATTTATTTCCACCTTTGTATGGTTATGATTTCTCATATTTAATGCTTTCACTTTAAATATGGAGAATCATAACCATACAAAGATGAAAATAAATATAACCGTTGGATCAACATAATCAATCTAACAGTGAAATTGATTAGTAGTAACGTGATAGTGACACAACTTGATCCTTCCCCATATAAAATAAGCTCCACTTACAAGGGAAAATATATATAATAAAACGATATCTTACTTTGTAAACTTGTAATAATAATAAAAAAAACTATTTAACCAAAACAAAAAATAAATTTATATTCGAAGCAATTCGCAACTCTTCTTTTAAGTTTTATCATGAATTTTTTTTTATTTGTAAATAACTTATCGTGACTAATGTTACGAAATTCAGATTAATCATTAAACCCTAATTAAAATTATTCACAACTTAATGATTCAACCGAATACACACATACATATAATTTTAAAAGATATAGAGTTAATATCTTATCTCAACTAGTTTGGGATAAATAAGTTATTGATGTTGATAAAGTTAATATCCTAAATAACTTTTTTCTTTATCCAGATATTAATTATTTTTTTATGAATATGAATAACATTGCTAAAATCTTAACCATTGCATGAACAGTACTCCACATACGATAGATAAGAACTTAACCAGATGGCAGTTTTTGAGCTCAGAGATGCTGACATTCATAAGTATATATTTTATTTATGCTAAGGAGGAAAAACAGTAAATGCTGGAAATGCAAACCATGTATATATTATGCAGTATTTAACATGCAGAACATCAAGGTATTGAACACCAAAAAATCCTGACCCAACGAATTTGATCAATTCATTCATATACAACCATCAAGTGGATTAACAGGCAAGGGTCATTTTAGTTGAAGCAGTAGTTTAAAGTTCAAGTCTGGGATATGCAAGCTCTTGCGGTCCTGCCCAACTAGTTAGGTAATTGATAAAGATATCCAAAAAAAAACTCAGTCATATACATTCCAAGCAAAACTGAGCTAGATGGATACAGCTAGCCCTTGAACAAAACAACATAACACAGATAATTTAGATGCAAAGGTATACACATGAATATCAGAGAAACCACAATAGTAAGACTGAACAGTTACAGGAAATTGGTTTTTTTCTTAGTTTAGGTTTAGCTACTGTCTACTAGAAAGCTCATAATCACATTACCTAATCAAACCCTAGCATAAAGACTTTGTTATAGGATCCCCACAAGCAATTTGTGAACCTGTGCCTCTTTGTTGGTTGGTTAGTCCAAACCTTGGAACCTAGGCATCTGCTTGTAATTTTTTAGGGTGGGGAGAGTAAAACTACTGTGCCAGATTCCAGGCTTTTCAGCTTTTTCTATGTAGACCTTTACTTTCATTTGCTTGTTGCATGGTGTTTATTGATGATGTAAGAGGAGGACTATGTATGTTAAACTCCATGTTGTTGAACATAAGATTTGCAATTACTCTGTCAACACTGTTGGTCTCCGATTCCATTGGTTTCTTGCTCTCAGACCTAGACACAAGTTAACATTTGTATCAAGAGTGTTGATAATTGAAGCAGCATGAGATTACAACGAAGACATCAACAGATTGTGAATTAAAATTGAACATGTAAACTAGATTACAGAAGTACCAGAACTATCTCTTATACCACTGCATTAACTATAATATAATATAATATGAATGAAATCAAAATTAGAGTCTAACTCATTAGCAAAATCATGATTCATGCTGAAAACCTAAGTGTTGGAGCGGTGTAATCGCAATTAGGTTCTTACATAAACTTAACTATCAGTTTCAGGCCAAACCAAGCAGAAGTTATCCTGTCATCCAGAGCAACAAATGTCCACAAGTGTATTTCATATTTTTCATTCAAGTTCTAGAGACGTGCATCAGTTGAATAACATTGTAAACTAGCCTTTGCATATTTAAGATGTGCCAAACTGTTTCATCATTAACAATTTATCATGCATCAGATAAAGGCCTAAAGAACAAAACAAACATGCAGAAGATCTAAATCATGTACCTTACTGTTTCACTGTGATCCGGATGTAGCATTGCCCTTTGCATGTTATGATCTCCATCTTGGTCCTGGACCTGCAGTACATGCTGTTGTCCAGTGTTTCTAGCAAGACGGTAAAGGGCATCTCGGAAGCTAATCCGGGTCCTCTCAGTGAACTTGTCATGTGAAACAAAAAGAAATTAGCAAAAAAGACTATTGCAGCTACTCAGATGCTAAGGATTAGAGTTCTCAGTCACTTCACCTGTCCAATTACCATCTCAAGATCCTTCAGTATGAATTCCTCAACCGCTGACTGCTCATGCATGCCATCATCTCTGCTGCACTGCTCAAAAGAGTCCAAGACTTCGTCTGATGGTGCCTTAAGAGAAATTACATAGATTATATTACATTGTAAGCCTTGAAAGCAGAAAATATATCCGCGGAAATAAAACTACAAAGGAAGCTTGCTCCATTGTTTTCAATAACTACATCCAATTATGACATAGATGATTTCTCCCCAAATTATCATTATAAATAAAATAAATATTGGCTTCACTCTACATGTGTTGACACTTTTCCAACACTAAAACAGATTTCGGATGTATAACACACAACAAAAGTAAAAAGAACAGAACAAAAGTAAAAAGAACAGAACGGAAACCTGAAATACACAAAAACAAGCAAGAGCCAATCCTTTAAAACCAATATAGGGAGTTGAGCTTTAAAACATAACGAGACCAACAGCAAAATCAACAACACATTTATCCCAAACTAATAGGGGTCGGTGGTAGATGAACTCAAATGAAAAGTACAAAAAAGATTGAGAAAAAAAGACAATATATATATATATATATAATCATTATCCAAAAAAAAATAGCAGTAAATAATTAAAAGGAAAAATAAATTAAAATAAGATGAAAATAATGATATATAAGAGGACAAAAAAGAATAAAAATGTAAAAATAAAAATAAAAAGAAATAGAGGGGAAAAAAACAAAAAAAGAGTGAGAGAGAGTAAAATAAAGAAAAAGGAAAATACATAAATAAATAAGAGAAAAAAGATTGAAAGGAAAAAAAAAAAGGAGATATCCCAGAAAAAGATTAACATGCTCATTCTTTGTTGTAAAGATAAAAAAAAAATTAGTGGAAAACATCGTTTCTGCAAGCATGAAAATCTGTAGTATTACACGTGAGAGTTCAAATAGATACTTGAGGGTTCACAAAAAGGTCTGGTTGAACACTAGACAATGGAGCAACCACTTAATATACAGTAAAGTTGGTGATATACACACACACATATATATATATATATATCACCACATAAATGCATAAAAAATCACTCCAGTCAGTAGGTGCCATGAAAATCCAGCCTACTGCATAACAACTAATTTGCAGGCCTCTTAGATATGATAATTGCTTTAGATCCTATGTGACTTGCAAATACTCCGGTAAATAGCTTGCAAATACTCCGGTAAATAGCATGCAAATAACCTTAGATCCTGCGGTGACTATGTTGGTTTATATTTGGAAATTAAGGAAATTGGAACCTACACATATCAAGACTTTACGAGTCTCTGTGTGTTGAGTTAAAACTGCTGATGGAGGCTCATGATAAATCAATTTTTATCTGCCAAGCCAAGTGATCGATAAAACAACTTTTAAAAAACTCAACAGAAAGCAATTGTCACCTCTATATCCAGGCAATCCTTAGATTCTGAGTTGCATGAAACAAACTTTGAAGATGCAATATCTTTCTGCAGTTGATCTGATGGAAGAAGGCATATATTTTATGTTCTCATATCATAGACATTGTTAAAAATATTTGTTTACAGTAAATTAATGACTAAAAAGGAATGATCACCAGATGTATTGCTGCTTCGGTTTTCAGATGAAATGTTAAAGGATTTGTCGAGGTTTTCAACACAGGGAAGATCTTCAGGTATAGAATCCCTGAATTATGTTAAACAAGTAAATGCTGTAACATCAAAAGACATTCATTTCAATTGGATTAACTAAATGCCTATGGTAAACCAGTGAAAATTGAATGGCTCTGTTGCGTTACATGTGTAATGCAAGATGAATAATAAGACCTTCCATAATCAAACTATTAAAGAAAATTGGAACCCTTACCATGCTATCACAGGTTCATGCAATAGAGTATGAAGGAATTGACAATGCAAAAACACCACAGAGCAATTCAATTTGCACCGGACTTCCTATAATGCTGAGTATAATTATGCCAATTAAATCATTTCAGAAGCTACATGATTATCCTACAGGAATAAAATCAAGTATCTTAATCCCAGAGGTTAAGCTTGTACAAGAAAGTGTCATTCATCTGTTCGAATCTTTGTAGGTCTTGAAGCTGGTAATTAGGCTGATCACATGAAAGTGCGGTCTGTTGAAAAGATTGCTCAGACAATCCCCCACATACACTTGAACTGCTAGACTGATCTTTATCATGCAGGGATGTTTCAAGCTCAATTTGATTATTGAAACTTTCATCAATGAAATCCATAATAAAGAACTTTTTAGGTGAACTAAAACCTTCTGTTACACTTATTCCCCAGTTTGACCAACAGTCTGGTGAAGGATGCCTGTCCAATAAATCTTGATCTTTGGGAACTAGAAAATCATTAATGCCATTCCCATAGTACCAATCCATGATCTAGTGTCTGCACATAGTGTTAAGAGAAAAAGAAGATTAGCATGAAGAAAAATGGTCTTTATAGTAAGGAATACACAGAATTTGTTGCAGCACAGACATAAACGCTATTTGACTAACATGAAAGGAGTATTTCAATATCCTATGTTCTATTTTTGTGCTATGCATATTAAGACATGCATAGTTACTCCACCAGTTATTGGACCCCATGTATCTCTTTTTTACTCTATTGTCCTTGGGGAAAAGAAGCAACATCCAATGTCAAGACCCTCTTGTTATGCAAACTTCATTGAAAATGGTTTCTTAGAGAAACCCAGTGCAACAAACTTTTTGATTAAAACTAATAGACTTAGGTTCTCTAGTAAAACTTGAAGAACCATAAATCAGGGCAAAAAGAAAGCTTAACATGGTAGTCTTCTAGCTCTAGATAAATGCCTACTTTCTAGGACTGTGGCTAGGGAGAATGCCTTTAAATCCTCGGGAACAGATGGTGTAAACAATAAATAACCAGCTAGTGACTAATCTTATTTTTGTCATTACACGATTTGAGAAACACCATCCAGTGGAAAAAATTTCAGTATTCCCTTAGTACCTAAGATTAAAAGCATATGACTCACTTAACTGCATTTACTCCAACCACTTCTTTATTTTTAACACTATATTTAGTGGGGTAGTATGTAGTTATAGGACTACTGAAAATTAACTCCTATTCAGCCAAGCACAACAAAGGCATGCAGGTCAGTATTTTCTAGTTTATCACTTTCTATTCAAATATTATTGGATGCTCTATTTTCTTCTCCTTTCTTAAATTTTTTTTTTTAAATCACCAAAATCCATATCTTCTCTAGATTGTTCAAAATCAAGTGCAAAAGATATAGAAGGAAAAAATATCATATATAAAAAAAAAAACATGAAACCGTAACATAACATAATCAGAGAAACTAGGTGGATGAAAACCACTCAACATCACATATGATTTCCATCCTCAGTAAACCACACCCACTTCAAAACTACAAAATTCACACATAATAATCCTTGTAACACACAGGAATAATACTCTCTGAACATATAAACCGGATTAGTCTAGTAATAGATAAATCGGTGGAAAAAAACTTTAAAAAAAACACTTTATAAAAAAAAAAATAGTGTAAAGGAAACATACCTTGATGAAAACAAATGGAGAATATGATCACAAATGCAAAACAACTTTAATGGAAAACAAGTTGGGGTTGGGTTGATAAGTAGCTAATAGCTGAAAAACAAAGGCGGCTATGATTTTGGGTTGGCTAAGTTTGAATGTTTTATAAATTGAAAATGAAAATCATTTTAAAAAAGAAACTTAAGAGGTTGCAAGTTGAAGTTGGTGCTATCCCAGAATGACTATTGAAGCAACAAAAACAGTTGTAAAGAAAAAAAGAAAAAGAAAAAGAAAAAACATAAAAACACGTTACCAGTTTGTGGCTGTGAATGTTCTGGTCCTTAAAAATTTGTGGCCTAAATTGCTCCATCTAAAACAGCTTTCTCATTGGTCCACGTGTCACTTCGTTGTTCCATTTTATGAATTTCGTGCTTCTTGGGGATTTCACCATCTAGCATCTGATGCCATGAACCCATGTGCATTGCGTTGGGAATTGCATTCCCATTAAGCCCCTGTAATTTGACAATATCCGTTAAATATAATATTTTAAATAAAACAAAAATCATACTTAAACAATTTTCTAAATTTAAATTTTTAAATACTTGGTATAATAAAATTAGAAGAGCATTATACTTACAATCTAAAAATTTTATAACCTCTTATAACTTATTATTTTATCGTTAATTTTTATCAATTTAATAATTATAATTTATTGTGAATTAATAATTCATTAATGAATTTGATTTATGAAAATAATAGTCATTAATTGACGGAAATTAACACTTACGATAGGATTATAAGAGAATATAAACGAAAATATGTTGTAAATATAATATTTCTCATTTTATATTTAAAGTTGTTCTGTCCTTGAGACAGAGATGTCCAGCCCAATAGGCTGGTGCGTTTATCTTTGATCTAGTGTCCTCTCCAAGGTATCTATGAAGAGATACCTTTGAGTCAAGCAGATCACTGTGCACAGAATACTATAACGGCGTTAGCCAATGGGGTGTGTGCGCGCGCACAGTGACAGCATAACAGTAAGAGAGAGAGCGTAATGTACCTTTAGGGTTTACCTTGTATTTATAGAGGTTAACTGTGGGTAGTGTGGATCGGCCTTAGGTGCCTCTGGTGAGGGCTCAGGCTTGTTTGCTACGCTGTCGTATTAGGATTAGTATCCTTGATGGATATCTATCCTTTGTTAATATCAATCAGTATCTTAGATTGCCTCTTGTTGGGCTTACCACTTAATGGGCCCATTATATGGGTCCATAACAATTGCCCCCCAGCCCGGCTACCTGGGCGTCCGGGTAGTCAAGGTGAACTTACGTGTGCATCTCTTCAGGTTTTTGTCCCTGAATGTGTACTCCGCTTGTTTTCATCTGTGTGCCTTCTGAGTATTGTGCATCATCCTCTTTTCGTCTGCTCTTCAGCATTTCAGTTTCAGTTCTTCATCTTCCTTCCAGCAGGTATGTCACACATTTTTGCTTTTTTGTTGCTTCTGTTGCATTGTTCTGCATTTCAACATTTGTTTGCCATTATTCTTTTGTAAATTTGAAGTAGCATATTTTCTTCGTCGATTTTCTGGTATTTTTCCAAAATCCACGAAAAACTTCCATAACTTGTGTTTCTCATAACATTGTGTTCTTTTGTCGTTTTGGTGGTTATCACCATGTCCTCCTCTTTATCCTCCCTTTTGATATTTGACATTTTAGCCTTTTTCAGTTTCTTGACCAAATGAGGGGGAAAACCCCTCTTTCTTCAGCTCTGTGTCTTAAAGGGAAGAGGGAGGAGGATCTTGATTTTTTGAATAAGATTCTCCCTGGTGCTCGTTTCTGGCTTTGGGGGATTCCTAGGACTGAAGAGGAAGAGCAGGAAGCTATGCTTCGAGGTTGCCATGGTGGCAAGTCTCGGAGTGTGTCTGGGATGTCGAGTAGAGGGTTGCGGCATCCCCGAGATAGGGGTTCATCTCGTCGGGTTAGGAGCCGTCATAATGAGAATAGTTGTACTTCACCTCCGTTCTCCCAACCCGGAGTTGAGGCTTCAAACCCATCTATCGTACATCCGAGATCTCTGTCTCACTCCCACGCTTCACCGCCTTCTTCTATCCTGGGGAGTGGCCCATGTTACTCCTGCGTTTACTTGAGTGCAAAGCTTGTTGAGCAAGGTTGCGACTTTTTGGCCGAGTCCACTTTGGCTACTTGTCGGCATGGAGATAAGTCTGTCTCTGCATTAGGAGGAGTAGATGATCCTATTTCAAAATCCGATTTGTCATCGTCATCATCATCTAGTGATTCTGCTGATATGTTTTTTGATTCAGGTATTCTATGTCTTTCCTGATTTCGGCTTTTTCCTTGTTTTAGGTATTTTATGGCATCTTTTGCTCAAGAAGCGGTAGATGAGTCAGGTTCTGCCGAGTCTTTTTTCGAGTCCTCTCCTGCTTCCCTTGTGTCCCAGTTTCCTTGGGTGACCTACGGTCTTAAACACCACCTCCGAGATGAGTCTGGATGATGTGGCAGGTCTTCCCGTTGGTCGGTTAGAGAATTATGATATAGTTCCTCCTCAAGAGGATGAGCCGGTTTGTTCTGGGGGACAGAAGAGAGTCCTTACTTCTTTTTCTTTTACCGTGATGTCATAAGTCTGTTGGGTATTCGGTTTCCTTTGACCAAGTTTCAAGTGGATGTTCTTAACCATCTTCACTTGTCACCCACTCAACTTCATCCCAACGGCTGGGGTTTTGTTAAGGCGTTTGAACATTTTTGTGCTTATCTTGTTGTTCTCCCTTCCATTCATGTCTTCTTTTACTATTTTCAAGTTGTTTCTTGTCGAACGGGTCGTGAACCACCCGAACGAAAAGGTTGGGTTACCGTACGTAGCATTCCTGGTCGTAGACTCTTCCAGGTTTACACCGAGTCTTTTAAGAATTTTAAAGGCCAGTTCTTTAAAGTTTTTGTCCATCCCGGCAAAGAGGTATGGTTTCTCCATAATCGTGGTGCCAAAGATGTGGAGGGAAGATTTCCCTTGTGTTGGTCATCTGACCATTTTCAATTTCCTCCTTCGAGTTATCGCTTTAATGAGTCAGAATTAAACCCTACTGACATCAATACCGCCATTGCCAATGGTCCATGTCTGCAATCACGCCGACCTGCTAGTGTCGCCTCTCTGATTTTCAAATCCCAAGAGGAACTAGACGCCGAATTAAGTATGTTTGCCTTTATATTTGTAGCTTTGTGTCATTGCATTTTATGACTGTGGGTTCAAATTTTCTTTGCAGTTCCCAGTATGGCCGACCAACGACAAGAGAAACAGCAGGGCCAAAAAGATGACCAACCCAGCTGGTTGTCGGTTTTAAACCGGGGCGGTAAGGGGGCGGCCAACGATTCTTCGGGCAGGAAGAGAAAGGCTCCCGAAGACAAAGTCAAGAAGTCTACTGCGGTCGAAACAGGGAAGAACCAAGGTACCCCTGGTGATAGGGCCAAGGGTAACCCAGAAACGGGTATCCCGACCTCATCCCAGGTTGTGCAGACGTCCAATGTGCCCCCACCACCGTCCGACGTTTCCAAGCATGCTTTGTGGAAATCCAGCATTACTGGTTGTCTTCGGGATGCTATATGTCCTCCTGAGATCTTCTTCAACTCGTCTCCTTTTACCCCTAAACAGATAAGGGAGTTGGAGGACATGGAGGTCGGCTGCATAAAGATGTCGACCATTGTTGGGTCGTTGCTTTCTTTGAAGAACGATTATCTTCAGACTCTCAATGTACTGAAAGCGTGTCAGGGTGAAAAGGCTAAGGCCCTTGCTGACCTGTCTCTGGTAAAGGAGGAAAAAGACCAGGTAGCTCTGACGTTGGCAAAGACGAAAGAGGATTTCACCAACCTGCAGCGTGAGCATAATGAACTGCAAGCCCTACATGCATTCAACCACAAATCGTTGAGTGATTTCAAGATCACTTATGAGAAGGATGAAGCAGAGTCGAAGGAGGCCAGATCTTCTGCAGAGAAGTACCGAGCTAAACTCAAAAAATCTGTGGTGGACTCCTTCAACAACGCTTTAAGCCAGCTGAAGCTTGTGAACCCGGAATTATTATTTACTACCGTCGGGATACATCCCAAGGAATATGTCAGCCAAGGTGCAATCGTTGGTCCTCCCCCCGAGTCTCCCCCTTGCGATTCTGTGACGCTGACAGAATGCCGAGATGAAACCATGGTCGAGGCGGGTGAAGAGGTTAACATTCATCGTGATGCTCCAGCTGCATGAAGGTCCGGGATGTCGGTTATTTTTTGTAACTTGTTGGGGCCTTTGGGGCCCTTTTTGATTTACCCGGAATATTGCCGGTTTTATTCCGGTTTTAATTTTGCTTTCTAAGCAATTTATTTTTCCTTCCATATTCTACTTTAAGATTTGCCATTTTGCATTTATTATTTCCGAGTTTACCATAGAAGCATTTATCTAGGTATTCGTATCTTCTCAACTCGATATGTCGTTGCTGAGCCGCTTGTGCTTTGTCAAAAAGCTAGTTCCTTATTGCATTGCCTAAGTTTATAACTTAGTCTCTTTGGCATATACGTTAACCCTTGTCCGAGTTTCCTTGCAGCATAGTACTCGAATCGCATAACCCGGTTAGCTTCCCTTTCAAACCCGATTTTCCCCGAGCCATTTAGGAAATCCTATCCAAGTTGAACTCCGAGTTTACTAGTTTCAATTTCGATCTTAGTACATGTATTTAACCCGCGCATTTTACGAGTTTTATATCGAATTTACTTGACTTTTTTACGTCGCTTATTGGGTTAAGCATGCAACCCAATTTAGCTTACTAAACCCGTGCATCATACGAGTTCTTTATTCATGACCTGGCCGAGGTCAAAGCATTGTACGGATTCCGCTTTATGTCATTATCGATGACGTATGTTCGTTTGGCTTACTCGTTCTGGTAAACCTGTATAAATAATTGATCTCGTCTTTGTTGACTTAACCATTTAATTGAATTTAAACTTCATAATTCAATTTTATCTAAGGTAAAAACAATAAAGTCATCTGTCCCTTTTGGTATCGTGACCAAAATGGGAACATTTTGACCTGATCAGAGTCGTTATGGCAAATTGTATTTGTACCTCGGATTGGATATTGATACATCAAAAACAGATAAGGATAGATCTTTTAAAAAGGAAAATTCCTCATTTATTGATATCAAATTGTGAATTACATGAATTTCCCGGCATATTCGGCTTTAATTAAATCCCTAATAGAG